GGCCCATGATGCAAAAAAGGTTAGAAACTCTGGGTTAGGGGGGCGCTCAGCTTCCTTCTAGTTCTAAGTGAGACCCCCAAAGCTTCCTGTTCAGTCCTTCAGAGGCAGAATGGAAGGAGTTCAGAAAACCTGGAAGGAAGGGTCCAAGAGAAGAGAAAGGAAGGGAGTGAGCTTCCTGCCACCATTATGATGGCAGATCAGAGATTCCAGTTAAAGATGCCTCGTGTGAATGGCAGTCTGTTCTAGGTTCCTACACAGTTAACAATAGGTTAAGCTACAGAAAAATGAAAAAGGGGAAATCAAGCTGTTTAAACATTAAACATTTTGTTTAAATATTAAAGTCAAGTTAGCCTGACATGAAATCGATGCTAAATCAAGCTTGGAAAGTGCTTTACGGCCTCCAACACTGGCCTTCCTAACTGCCAACCTCATAAATGAGGTTCCTTCTCAGCAGGAACAGGGTTGCCAAAGACAGGTCAGAAATGCCAGTACTAATTTAAAAACGTTCACTCGTCATGTAATTTACCATTTATTCACCAGGGAGAAATGCCTTTCCCTTCAGAGTGCCACAGTCAGCAAAATGGGTCCATCCCCTTGGAGTTCCCAGCCATATTTAAAACACAGGGACACTAGAGGGCTCTGCTCACTCTCAGCCTCCTAGATACCTTCTTTGTCAGTGAGGTGATAATGGGGAGGGGAAAATTTGAGAAAACAATTTAAGTGCAAAAGAAGGCACCCCGATTGCAGAATTAGCACCTGCTAGAAAGTCTAGGTTCATTCTAAAAGGATGGCCAGATCCTACCTGGCTGAAAAAGAGGTTTAAGATGGAAAATAATTCAATCCAATGAATCTTAAATCATCACCTATCACCAGGCACTGTGCTAGGTGCTAGGGATTCAAAGACAAAACAAACAAACAAAAACCAGTTCTGGCCTCTAAGGAGCTGACATTATACAGGATGAGCATATGGTCTATTCTATTGGGTCAGGAAAACCTGAGTTGGAACACCCTGGTTTGAGGGGAAATATGTCTCTTTCCAAACAAGATGCCTAGCCAACACTTCTGTAAAAGTCATTCCCCCTGAAACAAGGCAGGCATTCATGTGCCTTGGCTTGAAACAGAGAAGTACAGAAGGAAAGGAAAAAACCAGACAGATTCAGATGGGTCATTAGTGCTCAAGAGATTGTCTTTCTAAAAAGTTCATAGGATTCTAGGACCATATATTTAGAGCAGCAGGGACCTTGGGGGTCATTTAGGGCATTTTATCAAATGATTTAGCAGGTATAAAGTGCTTTGCAAATGTTAATGCACTTTTTATTGTAGCTAGCTAGCATTTATAGTAGTTAGCCCTTCTATAGTGCTTCAAGGTTTACAAAATGCTTTACAAACATTATCTCTTTGATCTGGAGGATAAGCGCTGTCATTATTCCCACGCTACAGAGAAGGAAACTAAAGCAAACAGAGGTTAAGTGACTCGCTCAGTGTCACACAGCTAGTAAGTATCTGAGGCCAGAGTTGAATTCAAGCTTTCCTAACTCTGGGTCCAGCTTTCTGTGCATTATGGTGCCAACTAGCTGCCTCTGTAAAATCCTAGCTATCTGGATATACATGCAATGCTCTACTCTATGATTGCCAGCATTTACACTGTGCTTTAAGGAAGTGAAGCACAAACACGGACTAGAGAGACCTTCTCTGGTATACAACCTTCTCTTCTACAGCCTAAGGAAGGAGCATTTCGTATTCCGTTCTTTGTCTCCATTTATGGCTTCTCAGTCACCCAGGTTCCACTTCATTTCAGGATCATTTTCATTCACATTGTTGTAGTCATTGCAATTGTCTCCTGCTTCTCTGTTTTTCTCATATTAGTCATTATATTTGTAGATGCTGAATTTGTTTTCTCCAGAAACAAACAGAATAAAGTTTAGTTAGCGCTGGGACTATGTGACTGGGAGGCTCAGAAGGTCTAAAAATGCTGGGTCAGAGAGACAGAATGAGAGAGAGAGAGAGAGAGAGAGAGAGAGAGAGAGAGAGAGAGAGAGAAGAGAGAGAGAGAGAGAGAGGAAGAAGAAGAAGAAGAAGAAGAAGAAGAAGAAGAAGAAGAAGAAGGAGAAGGAGAAGGAGAAGGAGAAGGAGAAGAAGAAGAAGAAGAAGAAGAAGAAGAAGAAGAAGAAGAAGAAGAAGAAGAAGAAGAAGAAGAGAAGGAGAAGGAGAAGGAGAAGAAGAAGAAGAAGAAGAAGAAGAAGAAGAAGAAGAAGAAGAAGAAGAAGAGAGGGGAGAGGAAATAAAGGAGAGGAGAGGAGGGGAGACAAGAGGAGAAAAGAGGAGAGGAGAGTTATTTTGTCCAATAAGTACCGTCCAGTGATCTGTGAAATCACCCCTAGAGACTGGAGGCTAGTCCCTGGAAAGACAAAGTAACTTCTGAAAAGCTGTCAAGGACTTAGATCCCCCAGAGTGATGGAAACAAGAATCCTTCTCCAAGGGGACCAAAGTTGTCATATTCACTGGTGCAGGACAAAGCCTTGGGGAGAGGATGTCAATTTAAATACATAGCATGAAATTAGAAGAACACATTTTTCAAACCCACTGAAAAGTCTAGATCTAAGGTTTATCTAACAGCTCTGACTGATCTGGGTTGCTACACTGGATTAGAATGAAAAAAGAAAGAAAATTTTAAGATCTGTCTAAACCTTGAGTCTTTTTCCCTAAAGTTACACAAATGATCTTTCCTGGGGAGCCGCTGCCTCCATGGAAGTCTGAACATTTGCTGTCATTTCTACTCTCAGTCTGCCCCAAATATGTCAGACCTACTTTCATAAAGGGAAGAGGACAGAGAGATAATCCAAGACAGATAGCACCTCATTAGCAGAGCATCTCTGCTCCCTGCCAAACTGTTGTGCAAATGGAAATTGTTGATTTCATATGTGGTGATGACCCCTTTGGGAACACACACCCTGGACTCCATCACTTTCTCTCCTCCATGGAGAGCTCTCCAATGTACAGGGGAGGCCAGAGCCTTGCTGGGAGGTGAGGACATGACTCTCTTGGGGAAAAGAGGAGGGCTTAGGACAGCTTGGCAGGAAATAGTCAGTGCTAAGGTCAACCACTCTGAAGACAAGGGTGCTCTGAGAGTCCCCTGTTAGGATGCCTAGCCCCCTTACAAAAATGGTCTTCAGCTGAAGGCCACTTTCCCCAGTGGGCTTTTTCTGGCACCCCCTGGTATTAGTATTCCCCCATTCCTCCCAATCACCTTGTACTTCTTTGTCTATATTTTGGTCTTGGGAGGAAATAAGGTATAGCAGATAAAACTCTGGCCTCAGAGTCAAGAAGACCTGGGGATTGATGCTGGGCATTGATGCTGGAATGGGTAAAACCCAGCCTGGAATGCCAGGATGGCAAGACACTCTCTAAAGCTGCGTACCTCACAAGGTCCTGAAAGATCCATTCCTTTCCCCTAGAACAGAGAAAGACCAAGAACCCAAGGCCTGTTTCTTGGGGACCATAAAGCCTCCAAGGGGAAGAAGGCCTTAAGGCCACATCACCTCTGTGGCCTTTTTGAAGACACAGATGGTTCTGAGAATGCAGCCACTAGGAAAAGGGTCCTCCCGACCCCATGGCTGGCTTGGGCCTGCACCCCCTCAGAACCAATTACAGAATGTCTCTCCAAAGCACTTCCCTTGGACATCATCAGGATTCTCCCAGAAGTAATCTCCCCAGCAAGGCTGCACAGAGAGGCTGCATCAGCTGAGAAAGTCGATAGGGTCTCTTCAGACACCACACTCCCACCATTGGTGCTTAACATATGTTTGTTGATTTGATTTGAGCTGAACTGATTTGAAGAATACTTTCAGCCAGTTGCTATTCTGGGTCAGTCAGTCTACCGATATGGAATTATTAAGGACCTACTGTATGACAGGCACTGTGCTATGTTGAGGGTACAGAGAAGACAAAGCAACAATACACAACAGTCCCTGCCCTCGAGTTCACAAGCTAATGGGGAGACAACATGCAACGATTATGCAGAGAAATGGGCAATCATAATCTCAGAGGGAAGACATTGCAATTGAGGACTGGAAAGGGCTTCTTTCGGAAGATAAGACTCAAACTGAGCCTTGAAGGAAGCCAGGAAAGCCAGGAGGTAGAGACAAGGAAGGAGAGAGCTCCAGGCACTGGGCAGCCCATGGAAATGCTTGGAGTCTTGTGCTGGAGAAAGGACAAGGAGGCTGGGCAGTACCAGTGACTCAGCCATGACTCTTAAAGGCTGTCTAGGGAGACAGTGATGAAGGGGCATCTACTTGGATAGGAACTTTATGGGGTTACTGTTCTGGAATGAATGAAAGAAAAGGCATTTCAGTACTTACTATGTGCCAGTCAGTATGTAAAGAAGCAACACATGGCATCGGGCAGCAAGGTGGCTTAGCTGTGGATGGAGCACTGGACCTGGAGTCAGGAAGACCTGAATTCAATCCAGCCTCAGACACTCACTAGCCTTGTGACCCTGGGCAAGTCACTTAACCTCTGTCTACCTCAGTTTCCTCATCTGTAAAATGGAGATAATAATATCACTTACCTCCCAGGATTGTTGTGAGGGTCAAATGAGATAATATTTGTAAAGCACTTAACATAGTGCCTGGCACATACTAGGCATTTAATAGCTGCTTGCTGTCTTCCTCCTTCCCTTCTCTACATGATCTCTGTTTTCTTGAAATGTGGGCCTCTTGTAAACCACTTTTTAGCTAATTTTATTCACACCATATGGCTCTTATTTTTCTGAACTGAAAACAGAAGCGAAAGGGGCTTAGTTTCATTAAGAGGTCTGATGTTTTCTTCTGGGCCCCCCAGGAGATGTCTTTCTTTGCTGCAGGAAAGGGTTCGGCTGAAATGGCCGAGTGACTTCTGTTTCTGCCTCTGCTATTGGTGGTTGCCTCAGCTGGTCTCAAAAGGAGATATAGCAATGCTCCCTTGGCAAAGAGATTTGCATTATCTTAAACCAGATTTTATCTCTGGTTAACACATGCGGGAACTGAAGCAGAAAGAGGAGAGAGACAATCACATTGCTAACAACAGGGAGTGAACAGGGGGCTGCTTTTAACCTAGTTCAGATTCAGTGGAAAAAATGCTTAATGAAGACTCAGAAGGTCAGAGTTCAAATCCCTACTCTTCCACTTTCTACCTGGGTGACTTTGGACAATTGCTTTTATATATGAATCAAATGAGATAATTTGTGGTAAAGTATTTTACAAAAGTTTAAGTGCTTTATGGATTCAGCCCTGGATCTGAAGTCAGAAAGCCCTGAGTTCAAATCCTGCCTCAGATACTAGCTTGTGATCCTGGGAAAGTTACTAAACCTCTTGGGGGTCTCCATTTCCATATCTCTACAATGAGTGAGTGGACCTAAGTGACCTCAGAAGTCCTTTCTAGCTCTGACCCAATGATCTTTTATGAGCAATGTTGAAATAAATCTCCCTTTTTTTGGTAACTGCAGCAAAAGAAAAAAATTGCTTGGATTCATGAGATTCTGCACAAAACTTTCCCAAGGCATAGCACAGTGTATGTTTCTCTTAGACAGTAACAGCCAGCTTTGGGAAGACAGCCTGCCCAGGTTTATTACCTACTTCTGCCTTGCAGTATATAAAGCCTGTGAGGTTTGAGTTTATCTTTTGAGGTCTGTCACTTCCTATTTCTTAGGGAAAGATCATAAATGCTTAGACAGATTCAAGAAGAGTGTGCATAAATATGAGTATATGCTTGCACACACATCTGTTTATAGGTTCAGGAAGTGTCAGGGCCATCTTCTAACAACAGAATACAGAGACTTACAAGAACAAGAAAGAGACCAGGGTACATTTCTCTTTGAACACTTTCAAGAATCTATGATAAATTTAAGGATCAGTTTTTGTGATAAGTTAAGAAGCCGAAATATCTATTAAAAAATGCTTTGGGACCTATGAGAAACCTTAAACCTCAGTCCATGATCAATCAATTTTTCCCCAAATTTTTTAGGAACTATGGCATAAGGAAAAGAGTATTGGAACTGAGGTCAGAGAATTTGTCTTCCAATCCTGCCTATGACATTTATTAGCCCTGTACCATGGACAATTCACTTCACCTCTCTGGGCCTTAGTTTTTTTCCTCTGTAAAAAGGAAAGTCAAGGCAACAAGTGTTTATTAAACACTTTCAAAGTGATACAAATGCAAGCAAAAGAGAAGACAGTCCCTGCCCTCAATGAGCTTACATTCTAATGGGGGAAGACAATACATAAAGGGGGGAGCAGATGGCAGGTACCCATGTTGGGGTATGGTTTCAAAGTCTAGAAACTCAGAAGGAGAACTGGGAGGGAGGGTTGGCCAGCTTTGGCTTCTCCCCAAAGTGGAAGCTTTAAGAGGAATTCACTAAAAAGAGAAGGGGGGCAGCCTGGCAAAGAGATGGTCCAGAGTGAGACTGCACCTGAAGCTAGTATTGAGGTCTAGAAATTCAGAAACAGAGACAGGAGGGGAAAATAAAGAGTGGATACCCTTACCTGTTCTATCTGCCACATAGGGTCATTTCACAGAAGCTGCAGGGCTATAGAAACATGAGTTGTGCTTACGATTCTTCTTTTTGGGTTCCAGTGTGCTAGGCACAGACCTGTAGGCTAGAGGCAAGCATCCAAACTTTCAGGGAGAGGTCCCAGAGCTGGGTCACTCTAGAAAGAACCCATGTTCCTCCAGGACCTTCAGCAGCAATAGCTCATGTTCCTAAAGGCGAGAAAGTGCTGTCTTCACAACTGCCCAGTGCAATTTCTACCTTTGGCGATCCAAGCATTTTGATCCCCTTTCTACAGAGAAGCAAACTGAGAGTCTGAGAGGTGACTTGCTGAGGCTCGTAGGTTTCAGCAGGATGGTACCGTGGACAGCGTCCTAGATTCGAATTCAGAAGACCTGAGTTCAGAACTCAGCTCTGATACAGGCTACTTGTGTGACTTTGGACAGGTCACTGAACTCCTCGGAACCTCAGTCACAAACCTCCATTTGTAAAACAACAGTAGCTGACACTTATGTAGCTCTTTAAGATTTGCAAGCATTTTACATACACTCTCACATTTGATTTGGTTTATAAGGAAAACGAGGTGGTTGGACAAGATGATATCGAAGGTCCTTTCTAGATACTGTATGATCTTTAGGTGAGTCAGTTAACTTCTCTATGACTCAGTTTCCCCATTTGTTAAAAAAAAAGAGGACGTTGAACTTGATGTCCTCTAAGGTCCCTTCCAACTCTAAACACTGTCATCCTGGAGGCTCCAGACCCAGTGCCTGGGCCCCTCCTCCTGGGCTCTGCTGTCATTACCAGAGAGTTGGGAAGAGGCCATTGTCACAGAGATGCTGACCGCACATGTGCACGCGCGCACACACACACACACACACACACACCGTATGACCCAGCAATGGTCTGGGTATCTGGGAGAAGAATCAAAATGTAGTAGAGCAATGGACTTGGAGCCTGGAAGACCTGGGTTTAAATTCTACCTCTGATACCTTAAACCTATGTGACTCTGGGCACATCACCTGATTTCTCTAAGCCTCAGTTTCATTATTTGCCAAATGGGAGGTGATGAGATCTGTGAGCATCTTTCTCTCAGGGCTGTGGTGAGGCCCAAAGGACATCCTGTCTGTAAAGCACTTTGCACGTTTAAGTTCTGTACAAACAAATGTCTCTGACACCAGCATGGTCCATTGGGCTCAGATCCTGCCTATAGTACAGACTAGCTATGTGACCTGAGCAAGTCACCTGAATTCTCCTTGCCCCCGGGGTAATACCAGTGCCTAGCACACAGTAGGTGCTTAATAAATACTTAGTGATTAATTGATTGATGCTGTAAAGCTAGAAGTTGAATTCTGATCTGCATGAGCAGTGATGAAACCACAGTCAAGACCAAAAGACAGAGACAGAGACAGACAGAGAAACAGATAGATATAGAGATATATGTATGTGTATATATAATGTGTGTATATATGCATGTATATACCTACCTATATAATGGCATGTATGTATGGGTGTATATGTATATGTATATTAGCTCTGTGGCCCTAAGCAACATAACTGCTTTGTGCCTCAATTTCCCCCTCTGTAAAATGAGGATAATAATAATACCTACCTCCCAGAGTTGTTGTGAGGATAAAATTATATATTTGTGAAGCTCTTTGCAAACTTTGAAGTGCTGTATAAATGCTATTATTACCATTAATTATTAATGGCTATTAATAATTAATAGTACTATTAATTATGAATAGCTATTGTTGCTATTAACATATTTATAGGCACATATGTGTGTGTTTACACATCCATATATACTGATGCCAGCTATTTTTGTATTTTTTATGATCAGATCTCCAGCCCTTTGCACTTTTTATCAAGATGACCCAGCTTGCAGACCCCCATTCAGACACTGTGGATAGACACACTTTCTTATGTCTCACTCAAATTCACCCAGCACAAGAGAAGTATAGGCAAATATCATTTGTAAAAGCAGCCGGCAGGGGCGGCTAGGTGGTGCAGTGGATAGAGCACTGGCCCTGGATTCAGGAGGACCTGAGTTCCAATTCAGCCTCAGACATATAACACTTTCTAGCTGTGTGACCCTGGGCACGTCACTTAACCCCATTGCCTAGTCAAAAAGCAGCAGCAACCACAAAGCAGCTGGCACCTGTGTCTTGAGCCCCTCAGACCTGAGTGGGAGCCTTCAATGCCACCCTGACTGTTAACCCTCAGGCAGCTGCCCACTGACATCCCATCTGGTCAGCAGATAGGAAAAAAAAGCAAATAGAAAAAAAAATTAATAAAACCATGGCAAAGTCCTTGTACCAAATGTTGGTTTGGAGGCGGAGGAGCAAATCTGGATAGGGAGGAGGGAGTAAAAACTATCTTGGCTCTAATTACGCCCTTGATGTCCTTGAGGGAACCGGGCACCACCCCCTCTCCAGTTGCGGCAAGAAACCCTTCAGGCAACACCTGGCTTTGTGGAGTCAATGCCCTCCCTTCCCCCGCCAGCGGCAGCCTAGCCCTATCGCCATACCCGAGAAGGTGCTAAATCAACTCTTTCTTCGGGAATCTCAGAGGTGTTTGATCCTGACAGCCCCCTTTTTTCTCCAGGGGTAGGAGGGTCCAGGAAGCCTGGTAGAGTCAGAAACGCCTGCAGCCTTTTGGTGGGGGAAAGACACAATGCAGATAAGAATGTGCTGATCATGAGAACAGGGCAGATGGAGTTTGGTGTGGGGGTGTGAGGGGGGGACTGAGGTATTCAAAGGTGAAGGGCCAAGCTGCGCTATGTCCGTGTTGCTGTGACCCCCTGCGAAGAGGCCAGTGAAGTGCCGGCACCAGAGCCCACATTAGCCGCTGAGAAGGCACCCAACCACAGCTGGCCCCCGCGGCGTGGCGCAGGCGGGAATCACCTCCTCTGTGGTCCCTTTCCTGATCCCCTCAAATATGAGCACTCTCCCTCTTGGAATGACTTCGCATCGGGGCTAGGTGCTTCCCTCTGAGGCTACCTGCCAGGGACGTGCCCAGCTTGTGTGGACATGGTTGTTTGTGTGTTACTATGTCCCCATTAGAATGTGAGCTTCTCGGGGGCAGGAACATGGATTCTGCTTTTTGTGGTCTCGCCAGGGCTTAGCAAAGTGCCTAGCACATTGTAAGTACTTACTAAATGTTTATTGACTAACTCAAGAACTAAAGAAAACACAAACACAGCTCTTGTCTCAAGGATCTTCTATATGAACTCCAGGAAATATGAAATGAGAAGAAAAACAATTGTAATAATAATTCACACTTGTGTAGTGTTTTTAGATATTCAGGAAACTTTCTTTGCAACAATCCTACAAGAAGAAATAGCCTGTATATTTAATCCCCATTTTCCAGATGAAAAAACTGACTTGCCCTGTGGTCACACAGCTGATTAATGTCAGAGGCAGGATTTGAACTCCAAGCTCCTGACTCCAGAAGCAGCGAGGTGGTGCCTTGGAGAGAATGTCAGGCCTGGAGTAAAAAAGACTCTTCTTCCTGAGTTCAAATGTGGCCTCAGATACTTCCTAGCTGAGTGACTCTGGGAAAGTCACTTTACCCTGTTTGCCTCAGTTTCCTCATCTGTTAAATGAACTGGAG